GTCAACAGCCAAAACAGCGATGTAGGGTTTTTTGGACATCGCTGTTGGCATGACCGTTGCTTCCCAATTTTTAAAAAACCAAGCCTAGAACAGCGATGTCCAGGCCTAGGACAGCGCTGTCTAGGTGATTTTCAGCAGATCCAATTTTAATCAAATCCCACAAATTGTGCCAATCACCCCTTAAATGTTTTGGTTCGTTGGAGCCTACTTTTCCACTATAAAATGGGATGTTTGGGTCTGTTTTACATATCACATTACTTCACAACTTCTACTCTTTCATTGCAAATCATCCTTCAATTTTTCATAGCTTTTGAGAGCCATTTTTGTGAAGCTTGTGTTGTGTTCTTGAGCGTTCTTAGTTTACTCATTATTCACTCTTAAAGAGAGTATTGTTCTTGAGTGTTTTTAGTGTTCTTAGACACTTGACAAGAGAAAGTATTTCTCTTGTTGCTCGAAGGAAGGGCTGTTTCCTTCGAAGGTTCGTTGAGGTTCGTGTGACTCGAATTCTCAAGTTGTACGGGTTTGTTAAGCACCGTTAAGCTTAACGAGATAGTAGTGTAGCTCGAGAGAGTCTCTCGGGAGGCTGGATTAGCCACAAGTTGTGGTGAACCAGGGTAAAATCGGTGTGCCTCTTACTCTTCTCTTTACTTCTCGTTTATTCATTTTTTATTCCTGCGATTTTTGATCAAACGCTATTCACCCCCCCTCTAGCGTTGGTCTATTATTCTAACAATAATAAACCTAAAGTCCACACTGTTTTATATTCCCTCGTTCCAAATTAATTTTTCTTATTTTTTTGAATAATCTCAAATTAATCCTCTAATTTTAATTTTTGGAAAGCTTTTTTGTGACTTACCTTTCTCTCTCATTTCTCTAACTCAATTTCAAACTTCAAATGATGATAAGCAAATGCTTAACATAAAAAAATGATATAAACCTTCGTTATCCATTCTTAACATATAATAATGCCTCCATCCTTGACACATTGTTTGGATGATGAGAAAAGAGGGAAAAAGGAAATATAAGTTGAAAAAAATGCATGTTTCAAAATATTCTGTATTGTTTGTTTTGATGATAAAATGAGGTAGCAGAGAAAACTACTCATGAAAAGTTTTCTTTTCAGAAAATTACATCTTCCTTCTCTCACCACAAGTCATTTATCTTTTTATCTTCTCAAATCATTTTCTTATCATTTTTTAAGAATTCAAACACTAAATTTTTCTCTTCATTTTTTTTCTGTTTTCTTTCTTCTTATTTTCTTTGCTCTCATTTTTATACTTCATCCAAACATAGAGTAAATATTTGTCCAGCTTTGACTATCCATATATAGTGTCACATTACCATAGTACAAAGGAAATATTTGATCTATTATTAAATAAAATTTAGGGAAAAAGGGAATAAAGTAGGAGTATAATATTGAAAATATACCAAAATAGTAGTTCAATAATTTTATTTCAAGAATGAGAGTATAAATGCATATATAGTTTCAATCATGACCATATACATTACAAAAAATATTGTGAACTATCCATATATAGTGTCACATTACCATAGTACAAATTCCTATTTTGGGAATAAAAATATAGAGTTCTTATTTTGATACAATCTCTATGTTTTATTCATATATATTTAGGATAATTTCTTTAAAATTAATATGATATACTCCATCGTCCTAAAATATTCTTCTCATTTCTGTTTACGAGGTTTGACCGACTTTATTTTCAATTTAATTTATTTGATTGTAGGTGTAAAATTAAAAAATAAAATTTTATATATTTAAAAATTACATCAAAATTTTTACAAAACAAGATTAGAAAAGACTGTATTATTTTATCAAATAACTAACAAAAATAGGTAAAAAAAAGTGATTAAAATCTAATCGTGTGAATAATTATTGAGAAGAAAGTTTTAGAACGGATGAAGTATTGATTAGATATCTTTGGTAAATGTTTCTTTACATCTAGAGACACACATGAGTTTAACATCTCTCATGATGATGGTTAATAAATCGTTACTCCCTCTTTTCTAAAACTTTTTTCTCATTTTTATTTACGAGGTTTGACCGAATTTATTTTCAATTTAATTTATTTGATTGTAAGTGTAAAATTAAAAAATAAAATTTATATATTTAAAAAGTAAATCAAAAGTTCTACAAAAAAGAGGTGACAAGACTATACTATTTTATCAAATAACTAACGAAAATAGGTAAAAAAAGTGATTAAAGTTTGACCGTGTGAATAATAATTGAGAAGAACGTTTTAGGACGGAGAGAGTATAATTTAAGACCAAAAACTACTCCTTTCATTCTAAAAAACCGCTCAGTTTGACTTTACACAAATTTTAAGAAAAATGAAAATGTCTGGTTCAAAATGATGCAAAGGGAAAAAAAAAATTTGTAATTCACTCGAAGTTTTCTCTAAAAAGAAAATTGATTTTTTTTGAAACGTTTCAAAAAAGAAATAAAATGTCTTTTTTTTGAACGGAAGGAGTATTTCTTAAATGTCCATTCATCCAAATTTTCCAAAATTAACAGATACGGAGTATAACATTGCGGATAAAGCTATTTGTACCCCAACCTTTTGTACCCCATTTTGTACACCGCAGATTTGCATCGACATTTTGTGTTGGTATAAAACTAATTTTTGTTAACGCACCAACATTTTGTTTCCGTGTAAATTTTTGTTAACGCACCAACACTTGTGTCGGTGTAAACCATCAAAATGTTTGTGTATAACTGCGGTGTACAAATGGGGTACAGTTTTTGGTGTAAGTGTAGCATGGCCCTAACATTGCATCACCAAGTAGGCTTAGAAGAATGGTTTCCAAACGGGGAGAAAGATTGAACCCAATTATGTGGTCGAAAACTTCTCTACCAAATAAACTAATGGCATAAAAATTATTGGTATGAATAAATAATTATACTCCTAATAATAATTAATTAAGCTACATGGGTGGGATTCAATCGTGAATGAAATGAAGAAATGGGTTTCATTTCAAACCCTTTCTTTCTTCTCATATTTTTTTCTCTTCCTTTTCTTCTATCATCAACCTTTTCCTTTGCCACTCCTAATATCATTCGTCATTTACAAGATGAACATTTCTCTGGTAATTATTTTTTAATTTATACATTGTTGTTATATTAAAGCGTTGTCTTAATTTATTTTTGCAATTATCTTTATTTTATCACATTATATTCGATAAGCCTATTTACAATTCTTATTTTAATTGTCTGGGTAATTATTTGGGTTTCACCAAGACCATACATAATTGGCATTGCAACTAGAAACTTGCTTACAATATATATTTTCATCATCTCATAAATGACATGCAATTATTTGAAGTTATATATTTCCACCTGTTTCTAGTTTCTATTTTGATCTTAAATTAGGTTGTTGTTGTTATAGAGAAAATAATGACGATGGTTAATTTCTTACTCCCGGCCTCCACCCAGAGGCGGATCCAGGAATCTGGAAACATGGAGTCCCGTTTCTTAAATTGTGGACGTATATTTATACTACGTAATTATTCTCATACTATAAAAAAATCTACTATTTAAATGAACATTCAAAATATGATTCTCAAATGAAATTTTCAAAGTCATAACTTCCAATTCTACATCTGACAATTTTCTAAAGATAAAATTTAGTAATTGGATATAATGATTTTTTAAATCAAAAGCCTCGAATTAGAACAAATGATTTAGACATATCCATAATTCTTCAGTATCACACTTTAAAAATGGAAGTAAATTGTAAAAAGAATACAAATAAAAAAATAGATTTGTTTAGGTATTTTTTAAGGAAAAATACTTGTAAAAAAGCAATAAAAATTGTAAACTCTTTGCATGCATCAATATATTCTAAACCAACGGTATTGTAACTAACCACAAAGAGTCCAAGTTTGAAGTTAAATGTTTTTCATTCAAAATAAATTAATACTACGAAGTATATTTTTTAGGTTTTCTTGTAACAATGAGGAATAAGATCAACATTGTATTGTTTGTTTATTACTAAAGTATGAGGATGGAGGTGATTTTAGTAGATTGGAGGTTCTCATTTCATTTTTGATTTCCACTAAATTTTGAAAGCACTCAAAAAAGAATTAAACTAAACAAATTTAAATATCACGTGTATTTAGATTTTAGATAGTTTTATTGTCAAATTGGAAAAACTTTAATAATTATTTAATACCTCAAGTATGTTGGAGATTTATTTTGAATTCAAAATTGAATTTTAAATAAATAGGCACAACTCTTTGAAGAGACATGTTTATTCTTAAATGACATGACTCTTGAATATTTATTTTGAATTTAAATGGGAAGTTTTTAATTAAATGGGTGTGTCTCTTACAAAAGAGACATGATCATTTATAAAGGGGCATATTATTTTCTATAAATAGGGCCCATGTCACAATGTAAAAGGAGAAGAAAAGAGAGGGAAAAATTATGCTAGAAAAATGATTTATTATTAATTATTATTTCATTGATTATTTAGAATAATGTAGAAATAATGTATTTATTTCTTATATTTATTCTATGATGATGAAATATTAATTAGTGTATTTTTCTATGTTTTTTCGTCTCTTTTCTCTCGAGACAAGTCTCGTTAAAGTACATTAACAAATTGTTTCGTAGAGCAACCGAACAATTTGGTCTCCTTCATTGTATCCCAAAAGTTTTATCTTGTAACCCTTGTTGCTTATAATAGGGTAGATAAGAAACTTTTAGGAAAGCGGTTCCAAGGATCACGCGCCTTGAAGCCATATCCGGTTATTTTAACCAACCCTATTTTGATCTACGTGTGGCTTGATCCCCTTCATTGGGGTACGTAGGCAACTTAGAATGTTTTATTTTTCTAAGTGCAGTCACAATAATAAAATTATTTTTTATTGTCCCAACAAAGTATTCATTTAAATTGGAATTCTAATGTAGCAATAGATATTAATACAAAAAAAATACTGCCTAAAGAAATATAATAAAATATATGACAATTAAAATATTTTTGTAAAGTACTTGAAGAAGAAATTGAAATTTTTAATAATTATTTAATACCTTGAGTATTCATTTAAATTGAAATTCTAATGTAGCAATAGGTATTAATACAAAAACTACTGCCTAAAGAAATATAATAAAATTATATGACAATAAAAATATTTTTGTAAAATACTTGAAGAAAAAATTGAGCTCAATAAAAAGAACAAACTTAGTAGGGGAGAAATGAACTCGTGTACACACGTTTCAAAGTTTGGGCGCTCATCCACTGCACTACTTCTACATTTATTATCTCAACGGTTTTTGGATATATATATACTAATAATAGTAGAGTACCCAATATATATAGGATCGTACGTGGAGGTCCGTGGGGTCCTGGGACCCCGTGGGACTCAACGTGGGTCTGCCTCTGCCCACCTGAAAGACATTCAATGTTTGACTTTTGGTCAAACATTACAAACATTGGCTACAAATTGTAAAAATAATTATTTACTCCATTGGTCCCTAAATGAATCGCATGGAAGCCAAAATTAAAATAAATTATAAGTTTTCAATCTATTTTATTCAAAAATTGATATAAAATAAAAAATAAACTTGCATTTTAATTACCACGTCAAAAATTATACAAAATATTAGGTGATAAAAATGTTTTATTTTATCAAATAATTAATAAAAATAGATAAATAAATAAAAATTACCATGACTTTGGAATAGTGCATATGATATAAATGTAATATAATTGAATTAATTCAAAGATATAGTTTTGATATATCAATTTTTTTATCACTTACCTTTTTATTTAAAAAAATTGTATTTATGAATGATCCAAATGTGTAAAAAGTAATCAAAATAGTCAAACATTGAATATTTTTTTGAGAATGAACTAATTAAACTTAAATTCCTAAATGACTTATTTATTTTTTGAGTAACTCTCGAGTACACAAAGTTATATTTTAGCTTGTACACCACCATTCACCAATTACACAATTCTAAAATGTATGGCGGAGAAAAGGTGGTGGGCACCATAGAGACATAGAGTACTACATGGTGTACCCAACATTTTCATTTTTTAGGGAGGAAGAGGCAGTATTTTTTAGAAGCGTATGGTTAGAGAGAAATTTCTAAATATGATCGAAAATAATAAATACCAAAATTGAACTAACATTTCTTTCAATTCTTTCAATTTATGTTATTACTATCACACTGCCACGCCTCGCCGACACTAGGGCTCTGCCGTTGGTGGTCGGAGCACCACTTATTGTCATTATTCACACTCTTAGATTAACAACATACAATCATCATCCGCACTATCTAACAATTTTTTTATAAAGTTTGGGTATTCTTTTGATCCTAAATTAGTTTTTCTGTTGACTTTTTCGAATAGTTTAAGAAAAATAAAATCATCTGATTGAGATTTATATAGAGTAACACTATGTTTGATTTAAAAAATTTGGAAGGAAAAGAAAAGAAAATATTTTTTACTCAATTTTCTCACCAAAATGAAGGGAGTTTGATTTTTTCTTTCTTGGTATATTTTTCTTTCTCATTTTCTTTTCCTCGCTAACCAAATAAGAAAAATAATTTTTCACTTTCTTTCCTTTTCCCTTTCAAATTTCTTAAATACTACGTAAAAAATAGTGTAAGAAAATTAATATGGCACTTGTTGGTTTCATATTTTAGGACAACTGAAAAAGAATAGGTGGACAGCTTAAATTTGGGACGGGGAAGCATTTTGATGACGCATTGAGATTTCTTTGTTGTAACTTGTAATTAACAACTTATCAAATCGTTCATCATTCTCTCTTCTTCTAGCGTTTGATGGCAAGGGGCTGACTGCGAGATGGAAATCGACGATGACGATGAAGATGGCGGCGGAATCAGCCGCCCAAAATTCCAGTAATTTGATTTTGGCGGCGGAAAGGACTCGCCGAAGAGATCCGACGGATAATTTCCGGTACTACAACGGCGGTTGGAACCTTTCCAATCCACACTACTTTGCTGTAAGTTTGTTCTCTGCAGCCGTTCAAATTTTGTTGTACATTCTTTTTAAATACTCCGTATTTCAAATTTAAAAAACGAGGACAAACAAAAAATTAATGAAACTTTTTGGTATATATGGACCATGCTACACTTCCAACAAAATCTGTGCCCCAAACTTACATCAAAGGTATACACCAACATTTTGATAGTGGTGTGTTAACAAAAATTTACACTAACACAAAGTGTTGGTGCGTTAACAAAAATTAGCATTACACCAACACAAAATGTTGGTGCACACCTGTGGTGTACTAAAATGTTGTTGAACACCTGCAGTGTATAAACCCTTAGGGTACAAATAGCTTTATCCGGTGTATATTTATGACAAGGTAGTTAACATTTGCTTACCCCTCAATAAAGTTGGTGTAAAACAATGCTTGGTAAAATGAATTGCTTGTGTCAAGAGAACAATGCCTGGTAAAATGTTTTACATTCCTTTTTGAATGTTTGAATGGTTTTTCAAGAGAACAATGCCTGGTAAAATGAATTGTTTGTGTCAACTATTAGTGATTTTCTACTACCTCTGTCTCAAAGTCATTTTTCAATTTGATTTTTCTCGGTGTAAAACTTTGACCATTACTAACAATAATTGCACATAAACATATATTATTAAAAGATAGGGAGTAATATTTTAAAACTACATTTTAAAATGAAATAAAAAATTCAAATTATAATTTAATGTATTTTCCCCACATTTTTTAGAAAGATAATTTTGGGGAAAAGGAAGTATATAACAATACTAGACGAGAAACGTTATCTGTAAACAAACCTTTTACAAAGCAGTTTTTTTTTTTGTTTCAATTCTTTATATCAAGTACTTCTAATAGATGTTTCATTGTTTAACGATAGTCAAATGGCTAATTTATAGTACAAAAAACTCTATTTTAACGCAAATCTCTCTAATATTCTCCTAATGAATTTGTTCCAAAAATTTTAAGTTGGACGACTAAGAGTGCCATTTCTATTTCAATATTGAATAAGCATGGTGGGGCTGACACACATTTTGTGATATCATAAGTACCTCTAGTGTGGCATAATAATATTTCTCAACATATATTTATACCTTCATTTAGGGTGTTGCTAAATCTACTCCCTAAATGACTATATCCACATCTTTTCACCTAATTTTGCTTGCTAAATCCACACCCATTAATACAAATTTGATATTGGTGTGGATCTAGCAAAATTAGGTGAAAGGTGTAGATATAGCCATTTAGGGAGTGAATTTAGCATCAACCCTTCATTTATTATCTCTCTTTTTGGTCATGGATTCGTGTCTTATAATGCAAAGTGTTTTGTTTACTTTTCTTCATTGGCATATTGTGGGAAGATGGCTTTTGTTGATAATTAATAAAGCAAGGAAAAGTCACAGAAAAATTATTCAGCAAAACAAATTAAGAAATTAAATCAAATCAGCTACTCTACCATCTCTACATTACTGATGCACGTCGTGGTGCAAAGTGCTCCATTTCTATTAAAAGCCTGCTTAGGCTTATTTTGGGCTTGGACTTGGCGATACATTTCTGTTGTATCACTTGTATGATGTATGTTGAGGTTAAACCTTGCTGCATCCCTAATATAACATGGTTATTAATTATTATAAACCAAAACATACTGATTAGTAACAACTTATCATAAAGGAGTTCCACCGTTGCCTCGAACCTTCTCTATATACCGACCACATTGTACTAGATTATATTTTCCTTATTTAGTAGAATGTATAGCCTATTAAAACTTTTGACACCTAGCCATTCCTGCATGAGATCCTTTTCCTCTGTGTTTGTGTCTGTGTGTGTTATCAATTGTTTTATTTTTTTAGCTTGTTCTAGATTTTATTTTATTTATTTTGATGCATTTTTGTTCCATATGGAAAAATCCATTGGACATGTATTTTCTCACATGGAAATATATTGCATTGAAAGGATCCACTTTCAATGAAATTTGGATTTTGTTAGAGGGAAAGTGTTGTGTTTATAGCATACGAGTTAATTAACCCCATTCAAGCTTAGAAAGTTGAATGGTAAGAAGAACAAGAGTGGCAAAACATAAATTAAAATTTAGTAGTTGAGGGATGAAAAGTAATTATAAGTACAATTCTAAACAATACAACTTTTTGTAGTGTTATGTCCCTTAATATGTTCTGAGTGCAATTTCAGTTCCCCGTTTAGTTTTCCTAAAAGATTATGTTTCATAAACTTCAGCCTTATATATTCTCTTTTGTTCTGAAATTGGGTATCATGGAGTCGACAGGTTATGCTTCCCTAGGCCCTTTCGTCACCGCAGTTTTATGGTTCATCATTTTTCCAATGTGGGTTTTCTGTATGTGTATACGATGTTGCTGTTGTCCACGCAAGACTTATGGCTATTCTCGACATGCCTATAACTTGTCCCTCATTTTTCTCATCCTCTTAACTATTGCGGTCATGTAAACTTCTATCCATCCCATTTTTTTCTTGTAATTATATCTTTTTCTTGCTTGATTATAGTTTTCAACATTGATTTTTTTAATTCTTTTACTGTACTCAGAGCAGGAGGTGTGTTTATATTCGTTGGCCAAGCAAGATTTGAGAAAAGCATTTCTAATCTAATCAGCTATGTTCTGCACAGAGTAGACACAGTTGTTGGTAACATCATGGACTTGTTTAATAATATGTTAGCAGCCAAGGATGTTGGGGTTGGACAGATTTCCTTGCCTGAAAAACAGAAGAACGATGTTGACCAAATCGGAAGTACAATCAATGGAGTATACCAGAGTTTTCGTGACTTCACTACCAAGAGTGGAAATGATGTCATTAGCTATCTAAATCCCCTGTGAGTAGTAGTCTTTTATATATATTCTGTGTAAATAATAAACTTTTCTTTTAAATCTTCTTGGCAGCTAATGATTTGTTTTCTTCGTTTTAGAAAACTAATCCTCATTACTCTTGCTACTATCGTCATTCTCGTGGCATTCCTTGGGCTCTGTATGCTTCTTTCCCCTCATCTTGTTTTCTTTTGACAATAACATAATTCAACTGAACAATAAATTTGTCTCCAAAAAGCATTCATGTTTCTAAAATAATAAGCCTCTTCAAAAACATTGCTCTTTTCTACGTGTGAAGTACTAGTATTAGTGAGTATTACATATTACACCCTCCGTCCTGAAAAAAGTTCGGCTTACGGTTTACGAAGTTTGACCAGTGCTATTCTCATTTCAATTTATTTGAAAATTGGTGTAGAATTAAAAAGTATTTTTTTATTTATTTAAAAACTAAATAAACAATTCTACAAAACAAGATGTTACTTTGATTTATTTTATGAAATACAACAACATTACCCCAATGCCTCAATGGCTCCCGCTCATTGCAGGGTAAGGAGGGGTCGGATTCTGGCCCCTATGTTTAAAACATAGAGCGGCTGTTTCCAGAATTTATTTTATGAAATGATCGATGAAAATATCTAAGGAAAGAAGATAAAGTTTGACCATTGAATACTAAAGCGGAATCTTATTTTGGGATGAATGGATAACTATCTAGTGTAGCAATATGTCGTCTAACTAAGTTTCATTTTTTCCTTTTTGGTAAAATTCTTGTGGCAGTATTTGCAATGCTAGGAGTTGAGTGTCTTGTATATAGGTAAGCGATGTTAAAATTGTTAATTGGCTAAATATGGACTATTTGATCATACAAATTATATGTGCTAACAATGTGTGTGTAATTGCAGCTTAGTTATGGTTGGGTGGTTCATTGTAACTATAACATTTCTTGTGAGTGGCATATTTCTCCTAGTTAATAAGTGAGCTCTCTTAGCTGCATTCACTTGTAAAATCATTGTTCAAATTTTCAAGTTACTTCTATATTCAATTATTCGGCTTAACCTTATGCTTCACTCTCACATGTTTCAGCCTTGTTGGAGATACATGTGTTGCGATGAACAAATGGCTACAAAATCCAACTGCAGATTCAGCTCTAGAAAATATAATCCCCAACATAGACAACCAAATTACTAAGAAAATTCTGTCTGCAACAAAGGATGTTACTTATGGAGTTGTCGAGGTGACAAATACTTATATTTCCAACGTCTCCAATGCCAATGCGACATCTTATGCAGGTGCATCGTACTATAACCAATCAGGCCCGTTGGTTCCTTTGCTCTGCAACCCTTATAATGAGGATGATACCGATAGGCATTGTGCACCCCATGAAGTTAACTTCGAGAATGCATCCGAGGTAAGAGTTGTCCATGCTTTATTTTTCACTTTGAAACGTTAAGAAATTACTTTCTTATAACCATTTGACATATGAATTAAATTTTGTGAAATTTGCACTGAATAGGACTAAAACATAAGTCATTTCTCATTGTAGGACTTAAACTTTTTTATTCCCTAAATAGGATTTAATAATGACCAGTGAAAAGAATAATGTCCAAGTGATGTTGGACATTTAGTTGAATAATGACTAATAGATAATGACCAATGGTCCTACATTGGGAAATAAAAAACATATGGTCCTAAAAAAAGTGGGGTTACCCTAGCACAACCCGAGTTATTGTCTCTGTCTTTGCTGGTGTCGACTTTGGTGTCATCTTTGGAGTTAAAGTAGCATATATTATCGAACCAACATGCATGCAGGCTTGGGAGAAGTACATGTGCGATGTTTCTTTAGTTGGGAATTGTGTCACCCCGGGGCGTTTGACACCGTTGGGTTACAAGCAAATCACTGCACTTGTTAATGTTAGCTCTGGTCTGTACCATGGGATGCCCTTTGTGATTGAGCTAATGAATGGCACATTTCTCAAGAAAACACTCTCCGATTTGAGCAAAATGTTGTGCTCCAGCATAGAGGAATACTCGAAGTGGGTCTTCGCGTGGCTTGTAGCTTCGTCAACGATGCTAATGTTTTTGCTGGTTCATTGGATCGTTTATTCTGAACAGAGAAGGTGCCGGGCGTATACTAAGAAAACTGATGCGGCTTTGTACTGGAAAAAACTTTCTTGTTAATGTGTTCACAGTTTGATTTTGCTTTATATGCAACTAATGCAAGGAGTAAATTTGGGATCTGAAAGGAGATTCATATCAGTGTGTTGTATGATCAAATCTGTGCTTAAAATGAGTGAAATTTCCACTAAATAGTACTAAAACATATGTCATTTTTTAATATATATCATTTAAATTTTTTTTATTCTTTAAATAGTACTTGAATACTGTCTAGTGGCGGAAACAATATCCATTGATGGTAGACATTTAGTCTAAACAACGTCCAATAGTGGTGGACATTTAGTTGAACTGTGATCAGTGGATAATAATGATACTACATTGTTAAATAAAACTATATGGTACAACATTAGAAAAGTCACTATATTTTAGTACTCCCTCCGTCCCCCAAAGATGTTCTCATTTTGACTTTTGGTGGTTTTTAAGGAGAGTTGAAAAAAGGTGAAAGTTTACCATAATACCCTTAATGAAAAATGGGTGGAGTGTATTAAATGAGGTGGGTGAGATGTAATAAATAAAGTAAGTGGGGGTAGTTGTGATATTTTAATTGTTAAAAAATGAAATGAGAAGATCTATTGTGGACAAAAAAAAGGGCTATTGGAAAGATCTATGGGGGACGGAGGGAGTACTATTTAGGTAACTTTTCCTTGAAATAATTGTTGTGTTGTATGTAATGTTTTATAAATTATAAAGCAATGGACAAAAAAGAAACGATTATAGAGTACTATTAAGAAACGATTACAGAGTACTAGAATCCAGCCGAACGATTACAGATTACTAGAATCCACCCGGGGGTTAAAATGTACGTACATTGATAGAGCAGTAGGAGGCCTCAACCCCCTTCATTGATAGATCTTTAGAGTTTGACTTTGGGTCCCAGTGAGAGCTTGGATCCTAGTACTCCTATAGAACTCATGTGTGCCTTACATGTTATAGGTTAGAAGCAGTGGAAAGATGAATATAAAAAATTGAATCCTAATTGATAATGATGTGATATGATGATGTGACTTATCCATATGATGTTGTGTGAATGTATATGTTTGTGGTGCTACTCTATGAATCAATTCTGGCGTTAGATAAATATTCTCACTCAGCTTTGAGTTAAGCGTGTAGTCTTTGTTGTCTTTGAATTGACTACACGTAAATTTAAATTAGGGATTGGATGAGCAATTCGGTGGTCAGTGATGTTTGGTAAACTAGATGGCCCATAACTGCTTTATGTTAAATTAATTATTCTATTGAACCCATTCATTAAAATTATAAGAATGTTATGTGATGTTGTCTTCAAAGGCTTCCGCATTGTTTTGGCTTGTTACCTTGATCGACTTATGTTTATTTAAAGTTATTTTGAAGGGATGTTTTATTTCAAACATTTTAAAATTTGTTATTATGTAGATCTCATTTAGTAGCAACCCAATTCGCTAACTCGTAAATCCTACTATATATAAAAAGAAAATGAAATAGCATATGTTGTTTCCCGCCCATTTTACCCAACATCACTAGCTCCAAAATATTATGTCAATCAATATTTAATGGGCCAGGGGGCACGTGAAGATGTTTTTGACTCTCTTCATTTGCAAATGCTCTGCACTGTCCTTTCATTGCAGGATAAATTGGAGGCGGAATATAAGATCTGACTCTTCTCCAATTTATATATGGAGATGAGAAGGTGAGTATTCTGCGAATTTCATGAAGTATATTGAAAGTGTGTCGTGGTCTCAAAATCGTAGCCTCCGGTCACCTAAACCTTTGTGCTGCCCTTGAACGGGTGGGCTCGGGTCAGTGAAGATGGCAGGGAAGATGACTTCAGAAATTTGCAGGGAGGAGACCTGTGTGCCGTGGCAATTTGTGGCTGGCACTTCTTTCTGTCATTATCTTCCTGTTCTTTACTTTTTTTCCTTTGTATTTATAGACTTTTTTCCATATAATTTAAAGTTTTGGGCTTAGTGTCATTTGATGTTTTTTTAGGTTTAGCCCAAAAGTTTTTTTTGTGTAATTTGAGTCCCAAATAAAACACTCACAAAATGCATAAACTTACCATTTGTATGTTTTAGTTTTTACTTTTTAATTATTTGAGACCATTATTTGAACCTATTACTTTACATATTTGGCACATCTGTTAATCTTTTATTTGTGATTTTAACATTACTTTTTTTTTTAGTTTTAAATTTTAGGCTTACTATCATTAGGTAAAAATTGTTACAAAGATATTTTTTGGGCCAAACAAATGATCGATCGTACTGCAAAACAAATTTATATCTTTAGAAATTAACAACTACGGAGTAATTTTAATTGCATTATTATAAAAAATTTTAATATGTTTCTCGCCGTGCATGGCACGGGGATGAATCTAGTTTGGGTTACGCGAGTTAGAGTGTTACAAGATGTTTGGTCCATGATACGTGTACTAGTCCTTTTAAACGAGACCACAAGAACTCCTAGGCCGCCTCCGGCTTTTCCAGCTCGAGTTCACGTAGCAAAGCATAGTGAAATATGAGTGTTCAAACATGCAATATGCACCCAGTGTACAAGGGGATGCCCTGGCACCCATCAGAGAAAATTGGGACAAAAAAATACTTTCCATTAATTCATTTAGCAACTTGTATGAGGGAAGTAGGAAAGAGAAACAGGAGATGCTAGGGGTACACCATTTGGTGTACCCCATTTGTACACTACCCCCTTCATAACCATTCATTTATTTTTTTTTATTTAAATTTCTTGCCTATTTAAGTGGTAATGGAGAGGGTGGGAGACAAATGGGGTACACCTTTGGTGTAACTCGAGCATTTTCCAAAAGAAACAAGGCCGGACATAGGAATACGTGGAGTCTACGCGAAGTGAGTCAGTAAAGGAGACTAATTGCGTGGCGGTGTCTGGCGCCCCCACCACAGAAACTGTAAGGACGCCGAGAGCAATCAAACAACGTAGCTGTACATTTGTTATTGGCCCCCGCCCCAGGATTTTTTGTAATCCCCATTAATCTTATTTTATGAGTTTTATCCATTTTCAAATTTTGATTTTTTACGTATCCCAACACCCTGCTTCCAGCCAAACAAATCTTGGTCACGTCCCACTCCCACCCTCAATGTTTAATTTAATAATAATGCTGAGGTTGCCACTACGTGGTGTTGTTATATATGAGTCCACTAATACTTCACACAGATAAATATATATAATTATTTTTGGTAATGTATATGGTCATGATTAGTAATCTAAATGCATTTTAATGCCTATTTTAGGAGTAAAAAATATAAAACTCTTGTTTTGATGTATTTTTAATATTTTATTTCTATATTACTCTTTTTACCATCATAATATGGTATAGAGGGACCATGTATACAACACTTTTAAAAGTTTAGGAAGTACTTGTGCAAATTTTGAAGCTCAAAGGGAATTCACACAATTTTGTAAAAGTTTTGAGATGAATAACATAAAAAACTTAATTTTAAAAATGTTACTACCTCCGTCCCAGAGAATTTATCCGATCTTGACTTTTTTCAGTCAATCATTTTTAATCTTTAACCTATAATTAAATAAAATATATATTGTATATTAATTAGATAAAATAATATTTAAAAAATATCTTATATTAGAAACCTAATAAAACTATTTTTTGTATCAATATTTAATATCTTTTTTATTTAATTTGAGGTTAAAATTTACTGATCGAAAATATCAAAATTAGACAAATACTTCAAGAGACAGGGAGTAAAATTTTGCATGCATGTTACTCGTATTTGAAGAGTGAGTGAGAACTGAGAAGCATTGTCCGAGAAAGTAGCAAAGAGCCATCATCGTTGACCATGGTTAAGTTTTAACCTATGGCGGATTTATTATTCTGTGATCCCATCCCATCCCTAGTGTATGATTATCCATAATCCGCTCCAGGGGGGACTCTCACTTGTTTGCTACGTGTAGTGGGAGGAGCCCAAGCCAAGTCAAACACAGTCACATTCGGTTTGACGGTTTCATAATTTGATAAACTTAACTGTGGGGGAAACGTGATAGGGAGTGGAGTATACGCTCTTTCTTATTGTACTACGTATTTTATTACTCCCTCCGTCCCAATTTAAATCGCCTGTTTTAACTTTTGGGCATATTTAAGAAAAATAAAAAATAGAGTTGATTTTTGAAATTGACATTACTTTTTAGGAGGGGTGATGATGAATGAGAAGATAAGGTGAAGAAATGTGACTTATTTTAGGGGTAGTTTAGGTATTTTATTTTTAAAAGTTTACGAAAACAACTAACAGGCAACTTATTTTGGAACGGAGAAAAAAAGGCAAACAGGCAATTTAAAATGGGACGGAGGAAGTAGTTATTTTTTCTAAGGGAGATGCTAGGGGTACACCAAAGGTGTACCCCAAATATACACCACTTGCCTTTACACCATTCATTTTATTTTCTTTTTATTTTTTATTTCTTTTTTAAATGTTACTTGCCTTTTTTGTGGTAATGGAGGGGGTGGGGGATATTTGGGGTACACCTTTGGTGTACTCCTAGCATTTTCCTTTTTCTAATTAAATTCGATGAATTTTGGGTTTTTAATTAAATAAAAATGATAAGGTTTATTTTTCTAAAAAATTTCAAAATTTTAGTTTATTGTACTAATATACAATATTAATTTAATATAATTAAAATTTAAAATTTATTCAATTTGACTCAAATATACTAAGAGATAAATTGGTTAAAATATATACAATGACGAGAAACTCCAAGTTCTTAAATTATTTTTATTTTAAACAAAGCATAAAATTACATATTAAAAACTACGTCAAATATTTTACCCCGGAGTACAAAATAAGAAATGACAAAAATATTTAATTTTATCAAATAATTAATAAAAATATAAATATTTAAAGTTTCTGGTGAACATGAAATATTGAAGTATCATTCTGGAAAAGAGGAAGTATATTTTAAGTTTACCAATTACATATTATTGGTACTTCCTCCGCCTCGGAAAGAAAATTTATCAAGTGAAATTTTTATGTTTTAAAAAAAGAATTAGAAAAAAATGAAAGTTTACCAAGTTACCCATAGGGCATTTACAACGAGTCAAAAAGTGCTACGCATCTGCCCGCACACCTCTCGAGAAAGAAATGTGGCTCGTCCACCGCTGCAGCTTTTTCATCGCGTCGCATGCCGCGACGGTCGCCCCCACCTCCGTGCCGGGAAATATAATTATTATTATTTTTTTCTTTCAACTCTGTAAATTAAACACATCTTCTATTTCAATACATCCAATATCATTTCTCTCAATTTACCCTATTGCTTAATTTATCTTTATTTCTCTCAAATAAAAAATGGATCTTACCTATTTTAAGAATTCCGTCTTCTTTTATGTTTTTTGTTTTTTAACATCAATTATATTTTACTGTATTTCATCTTTTATATCGATTTGTATTAATCATATGTATTTTGATTTTTAAATTTGGATTAAAAATTATGAATAATATAAAAGACGAATTTGGGATGATTGTAAATGCCTTTAAATAAAATAGGTGGAATTTTTTGTGAGGTGTAATTAAGCATTTTAAATGAAAGGAGAAATAAATAATTACAACTTTTGCCAGATAAGCAGTGTTCTCCAAACTCTGGTGCCATAAATTAGCCGCTGGAACGGAGCTTAGGTTTGCCAAACCAAACAGCCCAAAGTGGCTTTTCACCAACAAAAAGCAATTCTCTTCGAATATCTTCTTCTTCCTCCTCCTTCAGACAAAATTAAAAAAACAATGGCGGCTACTTCCCGGCGATCAACCAGACAAATTCCCCGGTCAATCTCGCCGGCCGACGGTTACTATTCGTCCGCTCACAAATCGTCTCCGTTTTCTTGCTCTTCTTCCGCTTTTGCCTCATCAACTTCTCTTTTCGCGCCGATTTCTCCGAGTATTTCGCGCCGGGCCATGTCGCAGACTCGAGTGAGCGTGTATACCGCTGGGACGAATTCGAATCCGGCTTCTTCCGTACGGTTTTCGGTTGACCGGTCCGGTTCACCTGGACGGTCCATTGCGGTTTCGAACCGGGGGAGTGCGACAGAAGGCCGGAGGCGGACGTGTATGTGCTCGCCGACGAAGCATCCCGGCTCGTTCAGGTGCAGCCTGCACAAGAACGCGAGTCCCTCCGGCGCCGCCGGCCCACCGGCGTGCAATTCGAACCGGCTCAACATGCGGCGGTCTGCGATGACCAACTCCCTGGTCCGGATCGGAACCGTGGAAGGCGATCTGGTGAAGCGGGCCTTGGGCGCCCTGATCCGCCCTTCTTCCCACCAGCAGCGCCGCCGCCTCGGGTTTCAGCGACGGCCAAGCCGGCTTTCCACCATGTCGAATGCCTAGAAACCGTCGTCTTATCCGATCGATCGTCAGTGAAATCTAATTTCTGCGGTGATGATGCCGGCGGTCGCAGTTCGGAGAGTATCCGCCGGCGGAGGCTTGGGGGCGGTTTTTTTGTGTACTCTGGTGGCTGGAAACCCTATGATCCGTTGACTCTGTAAATATAAAATTCTACCAGTAGTAAAAAAGAATTATCGGTGGTAGGGAGTCTTATTCTACGCAAAAAAAAAAAATTGTTTTGCGGGAAATCCAAATTCTCCCTAATTCGAGTAATAAACTTCTGAATTCTTATCCAATTGAAATCTTTAATGTAAAATTTGCACTAAATAGAACTAAATAGGACTAAAACATAATGACTTTTTCCTAATGTAAGACTTAAACTTTTTTATTTCCTAAATAAGACTTATTAATAACCTAGTGGAAGGAATAATGTCCAATAATGATGGATTTTTAGTTGAATAATGACTACTTGATAATGACTAAAGGTTCTACATTAAGAAATAAAAACATATGATCTTATATTAGAAAAATTATTATGTTTTAGTTCTATTTAGGTAAATTTCTTATCTTTAATTTCCTTTCATGAGGAGAGAAAACAAATTTTCAGAAAAAAAAAAAAGAAAAAAGCAAAAGAGGACATGCTTAATACAATAAAGATAATGCAATTAAAACTGTCTAATCCCATAGAAGATGCGTGCTACTTTATTCGAGTAAATACAAAATTTAATATAGATAATGCAATTGAGAGATGGAGGACATGCTTAAAACCCTATCTTCCTTTTTAATTGTCTGATTTATTTTATGTGTCAAACGTTAGACTAATCATATACTCCGAAGTACATAATTATAAAATAAATTACCCACATAAAATTATACCAAATTATTGATATGAAAAAATATTTTTAGATACTCCATCCGTCCAAAAAAGAACTTCCCACTTTCCTTTTTCATCCGTCCACAAAAAAACTTCTCATTTCTAAATTTAGTAAGGAATTGAAGGGTAAAGGTCAATTATACCCCTCCCTCTCATTCATCGTCATTATCCCCATTTACTCTACGCCACCCACCTATTATCTACCTCTACTTCTTTGCCATTTACTCCTTCACGCCATCCTCTTCCACAAACCTCTTAGATCTAGGGTTTTCCTCCTCTCTTTCGTCTCTATTCCTCCTCTCTGATACCTTCACCAAGTTGCTCTCACCTGTACCAGACCAGCGGATTTAAACGAGACAAGTGGGTGGGTGAATTTCCATGGATTCCGAAGATCTGCGCTACCTTTCTGTAATTGAAGAGACTGTGGATGAAATCAACCCTGAGGAGACCGTCGAGGATGAAAAATCCTTTTCCGCGTATGGCGATTTGGTGATTGAGCAACTTCATCCTCTTGAAGAAGGTATTCCGGAGGTTGTCCCTGATTCAGAGGAAGAGGATGAGCCCGCTGAGCCCTCTCCAGTGTCAAGCTTTATGTGCGCAAGAAAGCACACTTGTAACACCATCTTAAAGCTTATGTTCCCGGGCTGGGATACACCCAAGTAGGGATAAATCGTACTCTCTCTTCTCTACTTTAAGCACACTTTAAATTATGTTTACCTTCT